TACAACACACTCGGAGATGTCTTTAGTATTAGTATTAGCCAGACTCTTGCCTTTATAAATGCTTCTGGCTGGTTCTAGCTTGATCTTTTTTTAGTATCCATTATTACAAGGATTTGTGGATTCAAAACGGGTTTTTTCGGCCCTCCCTCCACCACAATTAACTAACTAACATAACCTCCGTTTGGCACATATTTAAATAACAGTTTTTACTGAAATATGTATTTTGTTGTATTTTTAAATTGCCTTCAAATTATTTATATTTATATATGTGAAAAACTTATTTGTGTACCTAGTTTTTAAATTTTGTATTTGTAGAAAATTGTTAATGCCCTTGATGAAATCAAGAAGAAAAAATGTGAATCTGAAATCACTTGTTATAATAATGGATGAGATTGTTTGTTTGCACAAATTATTAACGTGAAGCTATCGAATTGCACGAATTCCGCTCCTCGTGACTCCTTCGAACTTAAGTTCACTAGGACATGAATAATAAAATCTTGTGTAAACACTTGAAGTGGTTTTTGATAATCCATTAAATTGAATTTAATATCGAGAATAACAAGAGGGATGAGTGTATAGAAAAAATGCCTTAATTGAAAAGTATAATTCATCATAGCCTTAAGTTTGATTGAATACAAGCGATTAATAAAAAAAAAATAATGAAAATATGAGTTAGATTTAGTAGTATTTCATAATTAAAATAAACAAAAAAAAATGATTTAAAAGTTGTAAAAATTAACATTGGGAAAATAAAATTTACTTTAATATGTAAAGTATTTAATCACTTTGAATGCAAACCACACGTAAAAAAGGACAAAACTCTCAAGAGCTCAAGATATTTACATTAAATCAACACCAAGAGTTCGTATCTACAGAATTAAAAGTAATGTAATTACACTTGTGTACCAGTTTTATTCTAAAAACTGGTCTTATGACTGTCACACGTCGAGGACAGCTTGCGACTCAACAACTTCCTGTAAATATCCTTTGTCACGTATCTATTTGCTTGTGTTCTAGTGTTCCACATCCCAACACGAGTTCCTAACTAAGCGACGGAGTAGTACTCATGGAAATTGGTAACTAATTACTCAAGTATTATTGAAAATCATTGAATTGAAAACATATAACGAGCTTAATATCAAAAATTGACTGAGCACACTTCGCAATTTGACCACAATTCTTTTGAGCTTAGCGATTTCACCCCATTGTCCTTGTGGTGGGTAAACTGGCGTAGTGGGAAACACAAAAACTTTTAACCATTCAAATGGTAATAAAATGATTATTTTGCCCGAAGGTGTAAAAAAACAATAAAAAGCCACAATGAATAACTTAAGCAATAACAATACACGAAAAGCAAAAAAAAAAATAGTACAAAAAATTACGCCTTGTTCCATGTACAAATTATACAAAAAAAAAAACACTAACATATTCTTATACAGTATAAGAGTATAACAGCTTTTGGTTTAAGTGTGCTTCTGAGAAGTGAAGTGTGCGGGACAGATTTTTTAAATTGAATTATAATATTAATTTCATATTACATATATATTTTTATAATATTTAGTATTATTTTTTTTATAACAATTTTATACTCAGTTAAAATTTTATTTTCTTAACATTCAAATATATGTGCCTATAATTCACCTTGTAGCAAACAAACTACTGTGCTTAATACTCATTTTATATTCTCATCGCACACATGCACACATACTAATGCGTTTACCATTTTCTTTCAATTTCAGCCAATAGAAACGATTTATGAAGTGAAACGCCAATAGTAGCATCTTAAGACATTCAGTGAGTGTTTCTTCAAGTTGTTTTGGTTTTTAAAAAGATTTTTAAGATGAAAATGTTCAAGATTTGGCGCCAAGAATGCAAAATGTTTATATACGTTAGATTTAAAAATAACTACTATATTTAATATTAAATTATTAATAAATTATTAATTAATTTGTAAAAATAACCTATAAGTTTCATACTAAATTATTTATGATTTGTATAAACTTCTTAAAATATTTGTTAATACATAAAATTGTCTTAGAGTGAATGCCGATATTGAACTGATAAATCAATCTAAATGTATTGAAGCAATCGTACATCTCTCCGAAAAACAATATAAATACAAAAATGTGTATAAAGCTCATAAATTAAACGATTATAATCGCAATTTAATTACACAGGATAGTAACTATTATGTAGGTTAGGTTGAAGCGGCCAGTGGCGTCGCTAGGCGTCAGCGATGTCGGCGACCGCCGACGGCCTCGCGCCCGCAGGGGCCTCGCAAAAAGTTACCGACTGTGGATTCTAAGCACTTAATAAATATTTTGAGCAATTTGGTTTGATAATGGCATTAATTATATTCGAAGTATTGCCTAATGTTTATATAGTAATCAGATTCATGTTCACAGTTCCAGTCAGTATAGCTTCGACGAAAAGAAAGAAGCTAAGTTAAAATTGTTTAAGACGTACTAGAAAAGTATGATGGTCCAAGAGAGACTATCTTCATTATGATATAATTTAAAAAAAATAGGGTGATACTAAAAGTAGGAAAATTCATTTATTTTAATTTGTGTTTATTTTAAATTGATTGACAATAAAACTTTCAATCATGCTTTGTCGTATTAGTGAATGTAACTTATTTACTTTTACAACTGGGTTATAAGGGGGCCTCGCAATTCTGATGTCGCCGACGTGCAGAGTTGGTCTAGCTCCGCCACTGGAAGCAGCTTTGTACATACCAGTCCAATTGAGCTCAAATGACGATCCGTTTTAATACCAAAGGTTATCGTTGTTACCTCCAGTTAGTGTACCAACAACACCGAAAAATTAAAGTTTCCCCATTTAAGTTAAAGAAAACCAACATGATAAGTCCATAATTTAGTTCAATTTTGTAGAAAAACAGCTCTGTCAGATCGGTAAGAAATTTTTAATGTTTAATTATATTTGATTTTAAATAAATTTAGGTTATTTAAGTAATCTTTTAATTTGAACAGTGATGTTCTCCTGATTTGTTAATTGTATCAACTATTTATTTAATATAAATATTTAATATATAAAATAAAGGACATCAAATATTTTTAATACTTCACATAGCCAGCGGTTGGTAATGCTCTGAATTTTGAATTGACTTCCTACATTTCCAAACTATAGAGAAGTAATGATTTTCACAAGAGTAGTAAATTTGGGCTGTTTGGGTTTTAGATACTCCGTAATGTGATATAGGCGGCTCATGGTTTTGCAAGCTGTATTTTGTATCGTCAACAGCGTCATAGTCAATAGAGATGTTACTTTCCAAGTAACAAAATAAAATTATTTTCTGAATTAAAGAATCATTGATAATAAAAACTTGTGGTCTTTAATTTTTTAATGCCAGCGTTTTGTTTTCTCGATATTTTTATATAGTGCGATACAGACTATCTTCTATACTATTTTTTGAGATTTTGGACCGCATTTACTTTTACATATATGGTATTCATTATTGTCTGTAAGTAGCGCGTTATAATCTCTATAATCGAAAACGCTTAGATATTCATTGACTTTTTATAACAATTTTTTTTGACCGAAGCAACAAAAAGTAGGACACAATTAGTTGGATGCTAAATGAAAGGAAAAAAAACACAACGTTTTCTTATTCTATTAAAGGGAATATCAAGTAAAATATATTTAATAAGCAGGGTGGAGTTAAGGTCTCTATATGATTACTTTACAGGACACTGCAGCCTTTGATATGACTTAAATAAGTTGAAGCTTTTTGAAATTTATGTTTGTCGTCTTCCTGATAGGGACATGGAAAGTTCGAAGAATATTATTTGCAAATATCCAGCTCTTGGCAGACAAAAACTTAACTATTTAGCTGACATTGTTAAGTTTCCACATAAATTATGGAACATCAACCCAAAACTGTTCAAATTTATAAAACGCCTAAACATACAAGTTTAAGGATCAAAGCTATCCATAACAGATCTTATCTGATCACATTGCATTTTGGATTTTAATAATATTAAGAGCTACAAAATATTTGATAAAAGGCTCGAGTTTTGAGCAACTTATGTATATATAAATCAAAACAAAGATTATTGTTGCTCTTTTTATTTAAAATGCTTAAATTCACATATACATATCTTTACAATAATATAATTATTTATTAATATTTTATAGTTTTATTGATAAACACGTATGAGAAATACGTAATGTAAATTATTCTTAAACAGTACTTGTATCCGTCCGTAAATTATTCCGTCGACATTTGGCAATAATATTTTTAACTGTGCTCATATAGAGCTCTTCAGTATTTTTAGAACATTTAAAGTATATATAGTATATATCACAGCACATCCTGTTATATTTCTTAGAAAAAATTGTTTTATAAACATTGAGAAATTTTAAATATATTTACACTCAACTTCCATAATATTATATTGTGTGACCCAATTTTGTGTTGGAGGTGCCTGATGTAAACAAAAAAAAGGATATATCTCGAAGAATAATCGCTTTAAATAATTTCAATTTGAAATAAATTTAAATGAGAATACAAAAAGTGAATAGAGAATACAAAATTCACCACAAAAAAAAACAAAATTTGTTTACACTCATAAATCACTTGAGTAACGCTAAACATTAATAATCCAAATCCACCAACCAAACTGAAACAATGCATGAAGTAAATGTGGCCATTAACCAATCCTAACCACCACCAACACCACTACCAGCATCTGTTTTGGATTGGGAAAGAATAAGAAAAAGTACTTGAGTACCAGAGCAATAAATACGAAGCGGCGAGGCACTTGTGAGCGCGCACACTCTGCTGATGAGCAATTAGAGGGTACGTCAATGATCCGTGGTATTTAAACAGCAGGAGCAGTGGTGAAAAGTCGCATTCGTCTCGCATAGTTCAATCCATAGAGACTTGTACGCAGAGTACTCAAAAAAATAGACTAAAATAACAATTAAAAATATTCAGTATTCAATATTTATTGCTACGGCTAAGTAAAATGTTAACAAATATGGAAAGTGCAAATAGTGCTATATCGGGACTCAGTAAAACACTCACAACCCCATTTTCTATAAATGATATTTTAACGCGAAATAATAATACACTTAATGGTTCGCATTTAGAGCATCGTCGTTTATCCGGCGGTTTGGAATCTGAAACGGATCTTTTATCCATTAAATTGAGTCGACGAAAATCGCTTGAGGAAAACAATTCCGAGAATTGTTGCCGTAACGCGGGTGACATAAATCTTTATAGTAAATTGGCAACACAGTGTGCTATATCGCCGCCGGATCGTGTGAATCACAGTCGCGAAATTAAAATGAATAATGTGGCAAGCAGTGAATACATTCAGTATTATTCTGCCTTGGATAATAATAATCACACCGATTTTATGCAACACAAATTGGGTAATTTTTTTGGGACTAATAGCAATGTTCTAAATATGGGGAATGGAAATAATCGTGATTGTCATCCAATCGATATGAGAAGGTGCACAAACAATGATTCCGGTAAGCAACAGCTTCACAATATTTAATGTAACTCTAAGAGTAAAATATAACTGTAATACATTACATCGTTATTTATAATTGTTAATTATAGTCACTATATTTGCGAAATAATATCTTTTATAATTTCTATTATTTCTATAATTTTTATTATTTACAGACTGTGATTCTCCACCACCAGCTATTTACGGTGTTGGCACTAGTGACAGTTCACTTACCGATGAAAATTCAGCTATTAATCGTAAGAAGCGTTCACGTGCCGCTTTCAGTCATGCACAGGTTTTTGAACTAGAACGGCGTTTTTCCCAACAGAGATATCTAAGTGGACCTGAACGTTCAGAAATGGCCAAAACCTTACGCTTAACTGAAACTCAAGTTAAAATTTGGTTTCAGAATCGTCGTTACAAGACCAAAAGAAAACAAATTCAGCAACATGAAGCCGCGTTACTGAGCGCTACCAAACGTGTGCCCGTCCAGGTATTGGTAAGGAGTGAAGATGGTAGCGCTGCTTATGCACATATGTTTCCTCAAGCAGGTGGTTATGCACATGGCATAGATCCAGCGTTGTTGAATATTTATAGGCATCAGGTGAGTTAAGAATTATACAAATATTTGAAAATATATACGTGTGTATTATAATTGGGATTAACTGGGAAAAATATTTTCGAGAAACTTCAGACTGTGAAATGTGAAAAAAATTTTCGCGCTCACAGTCCAGAATATTATAATTAATTTTATATTTTCATTATATATATAATATTATATTATATATATGTCAAATTAAAACAGTAGAAAATTATGTATAAATTAGTATATTTCATGACTTCTTAAATCTTCATTATATATATAATATTATATTATATATATATCAAATTGAAACAGCAGAAAATTATATACTAACCAGTATATTTCATGGAACTCTTAGGATGATTTTTGTAGCTAATAACTTTTTCACGATTCTGATAAGTAGTTCCAGAACTCCTTGCATTACAAGAAATGAACTATAGGTTTTTCTGCATAAGAACAATTTTTTAATAAGAAAATATTTTTGACGGCTTGAATTACAAACAAGACTCTTGTGTTAATCAAGTATTAGATAGAAATATGATTATATACACATTTTGATTAAGTTTCTTAAGTCTTTTTTTTAAACATTAATAATAGTGTATTATATATCTATAATATTTTAGCTACAAATGGCATATGGAGTAGGAGTATCGCTGCCTCAGTTACCTTTTTCATATCCATTTTATCCGCATGGTGCGAAAATACCTCAACCCATACCACCACCAAGTCAACAAGCCGCAAATCTACCTTCAAACTTGCCAGCACTCAACGCCTCCAAAAGTGTTCTAAACTTTGGGAAAACTGAAAATGGTATTAATTATATAAACTCCTCTTCAGCATCTTCGTCGCCGACACATGCAAATCAAAGCACTAGTAACGGAAGTGCCAGATCGAGTCCTATTCCGACAAAAAGCACGTCTGCAGTTGAAGCGATTGAAAGTGGATCGGAAAGTCAATCAGCTTCAGAGGATTGTGAGGAAAACGTAGAAATTGACTAAATTCTTTAAAGCTAGCGAACAGAGAAATGAACGAAGGATGTATGTATGAGTGGAGTGTAAAAGGATAAACGGAAGTGCAGCAATTTTGCATTAAGTGCAGACTATATGAGCGCTTGTGATAAAACTATTTTAATATTAGTAAAGTTTTAGTTAAAATTATTTTTGTGTAAATACCTTTTTAAATATCTTTATAATTTTGCATTATTTTAAAACGGTTTCTTCTTAAAACTATCCCAACAAAAATATTTTTCATGCAGCTGTAAACCAAAGAATTATGAATTACGAATTGATTTTCAAACATTTTATAGCTTTAGTAATTTTAAATAAAAATTGTATATTAAATGTTAATATAAAAATAAAAAATAATGTAATACACACATTAACACACATTTTTTTAAAATTTTATCTGAAAAATATTTTTAAAGGTAAGTACTCGTATTTAAAGTATATATATGCTGAGGGTTTTCTATTATTTTTAATATTTGATATATATATATATATATCGGTACTTTTTTGAGTTCAAATCGAATGTTTATTTAAAGAAACGCCTATACTACATAAAAAAAAATTTGCGATAAAGATAAATAAATTTTAACGATTTTTATTGAACGGTAAGAATTATTGTTATAATCATCTTATTATATTGCAAAAGTATCCTTGATACATTTTCTCACTTAAAAAAAAAATCCGATGTAAATCAGTACTTCCTCAGTCACTTCGTTTCCTTACTCTTTAGCAATCTCTTACCTCTTCATTGCAATCTCCTAATTTATAACCTTTTATAAAATGCTTCAATTTAAACTTCGTAGGTATGTCAATTTTTTTCCGGTGGGTCGTTTAACAACAGCTTAATATTCTTGAAGAAAAAGTTTCTACTTATAGGGCTTATATTTTTCACTATAGGTTATTATAGCAGAAGCTTATTTTTATGAGTATAGAGGATTCTATTTATAGGGCATATATTATATTGCTTACTGATTTTAAAAAAGTAATCAATTATGATTATATTGTAAAATATATTACTCGTGCTATTCTCACAGCAGTAGTTACTCGACTTTTTAAAGTGCTTGGAAACAACAATTTGTGGCGAACTTTCTTTAACATTTATATAAAAAGAAAATTCGTCTTTAGTTTTCTTGAACTTTCACATCTTCAGTATATGTGTCCTTTGATCCTAACTTTGGTAGCTGCTATTACCAATCGTCTTGAAAAAGCACATTGTGTAAGTTGGCCAGTTTTTCTAAAGTCGGAACGCAATACACAGAAGCGAATCGCATAAGGAAAACAAGACGATTCATGGGTAAGAGAAAGACCGCTGATTATATAGCGAAATTACGATATCAAGGTCATTGACTATATATATTGATGAAGCACTGTAAAGATAGCGCTCAGATACAGTTTTCCTAAAGATGACTATCGAAGATCGTCGAAATATCGAATAAATATTTTAATATAACATGATTTGTTTTTAAATATAAATAATAAATTATAGTTTTTTATTTCTATTTGTGTGACCTATTAGCCTGCAAATAAATAAATATAAAAAAAATTAAAACCATATAACTTTTAATTTTTGCGTTAATTGATTATTATTTGATATAAGATTTTTAAACATTTAATAAAATTTAATTGAAAATTAAAATTTAATTTTAAATTATGAATGGACATTTTCTTTAAAAAAATGTTATTGTTATATTTTTGGTGTTAAAATTCTGGAGGGAAGATTTAGGTTTCGTGAGTAGTTGCCTGCTTTATTCCAATCCTTTTATCTATGAGTATATTATAATCAATTATATCTATAATCATTAAATTATATCTTTTAATCAATTTATCTATAATCATCAATTATATCTATGAATTTATTAAAATCTAGGAATATCAAGTGGACATATGAATAAAGTTAGTTAGTTATTTTTATCAGGGTATTACCTAGTATTACTTAATTACCTAGTTTTTTTTTATTTTATTATTGAGAAGCGATATGGATTTCGACTTGGTTCTGTTACGGTTTTGTTTAAGAATTCTTTTTTTAATGTGTAGAATTGTATTGTCACAATTTTGTGGTATAGGCTTAAAAATTTATTTATCTGATTGATTTTTTTATGTTAGTCGTTAATAAAAACTGCACTTGTTTTTACAGCTTTTAATAAAGCCACTATATTATTATTACGTCAGCCCTATTATATTATATTATACAGCTCTAATCTATTAATAAGATCAACAAAAAAATATAATAATTTCTTCGATTCCAACTAAGATTATTTGTATATCAAATATACTTATAGCTATTTTTGGCCACCCAGTTAGGACGGATATTGTCGCAGTCAGTTCTGCGAGAATCAACACATTTTGCACTAAGCACGTCATTATTTACATCACGCTTTAGTACAAACCGAAACCGTGACCTACCCATTGTCTGCAAAGAACTCTTCAAAAGGTTGGATCAGTCTGACCTTTGCACATGGTATGAGATACCATGTGTATTAATTTCATAAGAAAGTTCCCACAATATACCCACCGATATTATGAAATATATGCAACAAGTGCGTCAAACGCACTACAAACCGACGACCAATTGGTTTATGTCCTTTGAGGCACACTATGTGGTGACGACATTGTCAAGTACCCATGCGCGCGCGTGTTGTGTTGTAAGTTTGTTTATTGTCTCCAGAAATTAGTTGTTTTTTTATTTATATTTCGATGTTTGTACATTTCGACGCGACATATTTCTTATTTCCAGGCGTTACAAGTTAAACAAACAATTGTGGAAGGAGTTGCGTACGTTGTTGTATTGTTGCAATTACCATAATTAATGTTTGTAAACAAGAGTAAAACGTCCTGGCGTCAATTCAAGTAGATAAGTTGTTTGAAAACACAGTGACACGATCATAAGATCATCAACTAAAAATGGACCTCCCGAATTGTTAACACACAATTTGGGTTTCAAATTTCTTACTGAAACTGGCATCTGACAGCAATTCCCTTATAGTGAGATTGAAAAAATTCTTACATTAAATTAATTAGAATATTTTACATGATAACTTAAAACTATGTGACACTATTTATAATAATAATAATAATATTTTCTTAGTACAGATAATTAGAGAGTATTTAATTGATTGGAAATATAATAAGTAATTTAAATATATAATTGCATATTTACATGGGTCAACACTAAAATGGGTATGTAAACTCTATATATATATTAGAAGCATATATCTTATTTGACTTTGTTAGTAGTAAAAAAGGAATGAGAGCTGAGTTAGTAAATAAAACCATTTGTCATGATGTTAATACAGAATTTTGATATATGAACGGATATATCATATTAAGAACCCATAGTGGGTAACCACGTGTTCACAATACTAAAGTTCAATATTAAAGTTGTTATCCGAACAGAATATGTTTAACTTAAATTAGAAAAAACCATTAAGTATGATTGTAATACCATTTTAATATCAATAACCAAAATCAAAGTCTCCGATAGTAGTCGCCGTTGAATTGATCGAACTGATTTAGTTGGGATTGATTAAAAAAAATATTTATCAACTTCCTCTTTTGAGAAAATATTATTAATTTTTTGGAAAACTATATACTAATACGCATTAAATGTAATGCCAAATATGTGACAAACTGTTATGATATATACATTGAATAGAAGATAACGCTCTTGGATCTTAGATGAAAGAGGATTTAACTTTTAATTTCTATACCAAAATTAACGACACCCAAGAAGTGACACATTGAAAAGTATATATCAAAAACATTAATAAAAGCGCAGTAATAATTTCTATGGAAAACATCTGTATATATAGTTTCAATATTAAGAGATTATATTAAAATATTAATCTTATATGAGATTAAAAGATTATAAAGGAGTTCTAGAAATAAAACCTAGCAACTATTCTGGTATATTTAATTTCCAAACTGTGTGTATGAAGTGTTAATTCGTCTCCCAAAGGTTGGATGTTATTCATCGTAAATGACAACGAAATATAGAGTGTGCCGCTTTGAGATCTATACCGAAAGAGATTTGTTTAGCAAAGCATTATTTTAGTGATATCAATTTGGACATATTAAGATTTTTAAAACTAATTAATGGAATAAATAGAAAGTTCATAAAGTACATATTAGGCAGGCGATTAAATGGTTCCGCAAGTGATCAAATGATGAACGATGAGCGATTTAATGTTGATTTCAATGTCAACCAAAAATGGAAGGCATTTAAAACAGCAACAAATATGGTGTTTGGCGATCATTTCATCGCCTGCGTAAATTGACCTTTAGCCGAAATAGATAGCCTCTAATGAATATTAAAATTATTACTTAGAGAATTTTAGAGTTATTTTAGGAACGATTTCAATTAGTTTGAATTTGCAATTGAATTTATTATTCCTATTATTTAGTGAATTGCTTTTAATAAATCAGTGAATGGCTATCGCCACGAAGAGTAGAGGGCGCGACGAGGTAACGTCTAGTACTGAACTAGAACAAAACACTTCAATTCAATACCGAAATTACTTAAAAACGAATCATACGCGTAATTAAAATAAAAAATTGTAGTTATTGTGCTCTGGCCTTAGCTGGCTTTGGAGTGTTTTCGATAGTTTAATGGATGAAATAGAAAAATAAATTAATTGTAAGTACAAGTAAAAGCTGATTTATTACAAAGATAAATTGCACAGATATGATTGGCTTAATAATGTACGAAGAGTGTGGCGGCAGGCAGCTCTGCCGGATACTCAGTTGCGATTTGTTGCAAATTGCAGACGTTCAATTAGATTAGAAAAATTTATATCTGAATGTTATTGTATAATTTTTATTTTATTTTTTTTTTTTTCAGTGAAAAGCACTTCTGAAAAAATATGATGCAAAAGTAAAATTGTTCTTTGCATTTCAGTTTAAAGTGGATTTTAAATAATTTTGCAATAAGCGCCTAAAAATTCCATTTAATGTAACAAACGCCGGAATGGCCAAGAAATCGATTGCAATTTAAAAGCGATTGTTCACAAAGCTTAAGAAGTATGGTATTTTGCATTTAAGTAAGAAAATAGTAGGTATGAGTACATAAATAAGCTGTTCTAAGTGATTGGGTCAAGGCTATGC